CCCCCTGATTGGCCCTGCTCTGTGTGTGACAGGGTATGGAGCCCAAACCCCCCTGATGGGCCCTGCTCTGTGTGTGACAGGGGGCGGTGCCCCAACCCCCCAATCGGCCCTACCCTGAGCGTGACTGAGGGTGGCATCGCAACCTCCCGATCCGCCCTGCTCTGTGCATGACAGGGGGCGGCGCCCCAACTCCCCAATCGGCCCTGCTCTGAGCCCGACCAGGGGCTGCACCTAGGGATTGGGCCTGCCCTCTGCCACCCGGGAGCAGGCCTAAGCCAGCAGGTCATTATCTCCTGAGGGGTCCCAGACTGCGAGAGGGCACAGGACGGGCTGAGGGACCTCCCTCCCCCCTCCCCCGAGTGCACAAATTTTTGTGCACCGGGCCTCTAGTACTTACATAATTAAAATTGATTTTTAAAAAGTGATTAGAAAATCAAGCCCCCCCTCTGTACTCCCATAACCAGGAGCAGTCCATGCTCATGAACTCAGGAGACCTGGGGTCCAGTCCTGCTCAGGGACAAAGTCCAGTGGTCTGGTGGTGTAACATCCTGAGCCCTGTCTGGTACTCCCAGGTGTGGTACAACTGGGATTTGATGGCAGACATGAAGGAGCATGACTAAAGGTGGCTATAGATGTCATTCAGCAGGGAAACCAAAACCCTTATAAGGGAGAGTGCCTGAGGTCACTGGGTGCAATGTAGGGCCCAGAGCCCCAACTGGCAGCTCCATGCTTGTCCCCCACTCTGACACAAGGATGGATTGGCCAGAGAGGCCATTCCAAGCATGGCCTGAAGGATGCAGGAGGCTCCATCCCTTACCCAGTGGCCACTTGCCCCCTGGCCTGGGGACTTACCAGCACAGCGATGGTGCCATGAAGGGGGCCCATGGTCTGCAGCGTCTCACGGCCATCTTCATCCCGGTACTCCCACTCCACACCCATGGCGATGAACGATTTGGAACTGGGATCTATGTCGTTCTCTTCATTTAAAATGAACTTGCCTGTCTCTAAGTTCTTGACGGCTGAAAACAGCAAAAGGGAGCCCCCACCAAGATTACCAGGGGCAAGATCCAGGCACGCTGAAGGGAGGCCGGGGTGGGGGGGGGTGGCATGGGGCACACTAGTTTGGGCAGGTGCAGGGAGTGTCCTTGCCAGACAGCCCAATCACCTGAGAGCCTGGCTCCTCCTTTGCCACTTGGCCAGAACTGATGCCTTTCTGCCAGGCGCAGGGTCTTTTCTCGGACCTGCCCCCACAGACTCTGGGTGAGCAGGGGCTCTGCCCAGAAGTGGAAAGTCTCCCTCCCTACAGTCAGCAGGCACTCAGAGCTCCCGCCTGCCGCCTCAACCCCCAGGGTGCAGGGTATCTGCTGGACACTAGGGCACAATGGTGGGGCTTCCTGCCATGGGGTGAGCATATGTCCAGCTAAAAATCAGGGTCTCCCCACCCCATTTGTAATAGTGGCCCTGCCTGGAGTCCCACCAGTTCCCCATACCTCCTGAAGAGGCTTGCCCTGACTAGGGGACCACTCAAGCCATTGCAAAAATGTCTAGGAGCTGAGGACTCAGCTGGCCAGGAAGCTTCACACTTCCCATAGTGTGGAAGGAACACTGGGGAGCTGCTGGGTGACTTTAGGGAGCCCAGACAGGGCACAGAATGAGGAAATAACTCCGTACACAAGTCTCCTATAACTCTGTCTACATCACAAAGTGAGCCTCAGTAGTTGTTATGGGTCCTCAACTTGTCACTCCTCTCTTCTCTCCTGCAGAGACAGAGGACCTGGGACCTGGAGTCTTTAGCAGTCTCTTTTTTTGGGGGGGGGGGTGGGCACTGACTTTTATATCTGCCTTCTGTTTAAGGCAAGTGGTACTAGTTTTGCATTTTGGGTAACAATATAAATTTTCTTCTTAAAGTAACAACAGAAGAAAAATTGACTATTAAAAGAAAATGGACTCTGTCATGTCTCAGCAGGGATGCTGGATGGTGAGGTCCTGAACCAATCTGATCCCCGCGGGACACGGAAGAAGGTGGGCCCCAAATTGGGGGAACTTGTCCAGGATCTCCCAGCGCCCCCCTACATCACTTTTGGGCCCCATGACTACCCAGGAGGTTGGGCACAGATGCCTTTTTGGGGAGTGGGTAAGGATGGGTGGAGCCCCAGCAAAGAGTCCCAGGCAGCTTCAGTGAGCAGAGTCCCTCCGGCAAGGGTTGCCACGTGGGAAGGGGCATCCAGAGTTGTTGGAACATCCGACATTTCAAGAGTGGCCAGAGATCTCTACTCTAGATAGAATCTCAGGAATTTAAAAGTACACTAATGGAAAAATATGCAAATACACTGTGGGAGGCCATCCTCCAGCTCAGGCACTCTGGTTAGTGTGTGTGGGGAGGCTACTCAGGACTCTCCTGCTTGCAGACCTGCTTGCCTTCCAGTGGGTGGGGGGCAGCTCCCGTTAGCCTTGAGATGGGGAGTCATTATTGTGGGCTGGGGGTGTGTGACACATATCCCTCCACAGCTGCTGCCAGGAGCCCTCTGATCCAAACACACAGTTTCTCTACCAAAAGGTGAATCCAGAAAAGGTCCACGACATGGGCTGAGCCAGGGACAGGGAGTCTCTCCAATCGAGCTTCCCACCCCGGGGGCTCTGCCCATACCCGGTAGAGCCAGCTGTAGATCTGCTGCCTTCCTGAGCTGTGGGACTTACCCAGGTGATGGCTGGTAATGTATGCCTCCTGGATGAGCAGGTGTCTGGCTCCTGTGGGGATCTCAAACATCTTAATGTAACCTTTGTTGGGATGTGGGGAGACAAAGACAAATGAAAGGAGAGGAATCACTGGGGTGCAGACAAGGCATGGAGGGCCTTGCCCTCAAAGATAGCTCCAGAGGCCCCAGTGTTTTGACTGTCCACCCAGAAAGGCAGCTAAGGGACAGGGAGCAAGGGACCCACAGCTGCCCCATAGCCCTAAAAGGCAGGAGAGGGGTGGCCTCAGCAAGCCCCTGCCCTCAAATAGACATCTGAGACCCACCGTATGTACCTATATTTTGGCATCTTCTGCCCTGAACCCTCACCTGGGCCCCCACTCTCCCTGTCCCCCACCCACCGTGGAGCCTGGCTCAAGCTGTTCTGATTTAGGTTCTCCCACCACCTCACCCTTCCAGAAGAGTCATGAACCCAGACAGAGCCCCAAGGACAAGCATCCCATGTCCAACGAGCAGGTGCTGTAGACATTCAGGCCCCAGGGCCAGAGGGAGGGGCTCACTCACCCAGCTTCTTAGGTGAGCGTGTGAACATGCCTTTGACCACTTTGCAATGGCTGTTGTCCCCTCCACACACACCGCACTTGTCTTCTTGCTTGTTGGACCCGATCACTCCATCACAACCCACCTTCTGTGAGGGGGAAGGGGAGTTGCAGTGTATACCAAGACCCTCCCCACTTGGGCTCTGGCTTGACTGTGCCCCCTGGGCATTAACACCTGTTCCCTGGGTATCACCTTTTTAGCAGTTCCCAATGCAGAGGAAGGAGACAGGGCTTTGGAGAAAGACAGACCCCATGTGCCCACCTGAGGAACAGTCCCTTCCTCCCACTCATTCACTCATCTAGACAGTATGACTTCAGAGGGCTTGGCACAGCCTAAACAAGGCCACATCCTGAGACTGTCCTGATTTGGCAAGCTGGCCTCAAAATAAACATTCCTGCCCTGAGGGCTGTAACTCAGACCTGGTCTCTGTCCCTTGCCCAGGGCCACACAGCAAGGCCCCTCCAGCAGCCACTCCAGGGCACCCACCACAGCTTAGGCTTGGATGCCCCAGCCTTCACATTGCCCACAGGAACACAATGCACTCTTTAGTCTATCTTCAGGTGTCTAGACAGGAGGTGACAAAAGTTGGTAAGAACACTTTTGCCTTCATTCTCTTGTGGCAGGAGAGTAAGAAGCTAGGGAAATTCCTTGGCAAGTGGAATAAGGGAAATTGAGACAAAATAATTAAATAAGGCCAAATGATTTGAGCAATTTATAGCCAGCTAATGAATCACATGTTTTATCTTCCCTAATCAAAGACACTTAAGAACAATGGTTTACACATTATAGACTATCCTGGGACAGAACAGCCTTAGTCCTGGTTCCTCTTCAATGATGTTCTTTAAAACTAACTAGATAACCCTGACCCCTCTATACACACTTTGTGATGAATCAACACATTGAAGGACACATCTGAAAAGCTAATGAATATTCTGTTAAGACCCTCCCCTAGGATTACAGCCAACTAAAGGAAGATAAGACGTCTCAAGACAAAGGAATCAGAGTCACCCACACCTTGTACCTCTGTTTCTTTTCTCCTAAACTCTAAGGCAGTGGTTCTCAACCTTCCTAATGCCGCGACCCTTTAATATAGTTCCTCATGTTGTGGTGACCCCCAATTTCATTGTTACAAATTGAACATAATTAAAGCATAGTGATTAATCACAAAAACAATATGTAATTACATATGTGTTTTCCGATGGTCTTAGGTGACCCCTGTGAAAGGGTCGTTCGACCCCCAAAGGGGTCGCAACCCACAGGGACCTCGTGAGACTTGCAACCAGGGTAGCTGTGGGCAGCAGCAGCTCATCCCAGGCTTACTCCCTGAATCTGTCTCCAAGGCCCCCTTTTTCTCTGACTTTCTCCTGTTGCTTCTCCTACCTTAAGCCTTTGTTTCATTGTCCCCAGTTTTAATAAACATACTTTTGAAAACACCTGGACTCATGTTGTGAAATCTTTCCCACAGGAAGTCAAGAACCCATACACTACCAGCAGGCCTGAGGTAGACCTGCTCCAGGCCTAGACCTCATGTGGTAACTCTCTCAACAAATACTCTCAACACTGCTCACTCCAGTGGCAAAAATTATTTCACACTGAGTGGGGACCTTCCTTTTCTCAGGGTCACCTGGTAGAGGCAGTAATAAATTCAGGTTCTTTTACTCTCTAAAGCCCTGGCAGCACACCATTCCCAGGACCACAGAAGCTAGAAAAGGAGCAGCCCTTGCATGTTTATGGCCTGACACCATTTTTATACCAATATCCACATCCACAGCTTTTCTAGCTTAGCAGGGACAATGACCTAAAGTGTGCCATAGCATTGCATGTTTTCCCTGGTTGCTAGGAAGCTCGGAGCCAATTCTCCTCTACCACCACCTCTGAAGAGACCCTCTTCCTCCTGCTTTGGTCTTCCATTTCTGACTTTTATCTCACAAGTACCTTTGAGGACAGGGACTCTAACCCATAAAGGGGCTACAGAGCAGCGGTCCATGCATCTGAATAGAAGTTAACAAATTTTGGTTTTATTGATTTATATGATCATAAGCCTTTTGAATTAATTTTGGAAGTGAGCAAGGTGAAAACAAATCAATAAAATGAACATGCTTATTTTTATTTTAATGATTTATGAGGGAAAAAAATTAACAAAGGAAGGGAACAGGATAAACTGGGGGGGGGGGAATTGATCTTTTAAGGCAGCGGTTCTCAACCTGTGGGTCGCGACCCCTTTGAGGGTCGAACGACCCTTTCACAGGGGTCACCTAAGACCATCGGAAAACACATATATAATTACATACTGTTTTTGTAATTAATCACTATGCTTTAATTATGTTCAATTTGTAACAATGAAATTGGGGGTCACCACAACATGAGGAACTATATTAAAGGGTCGCGGCATTAGGAAGGTTGAGAACCACTGTTTTAAGGCATAGAAGTCTGAGCTGAAAGCATTAGATCTGTCACTTCCTGGCTATGCAGTCTTAGAGGAACTCTGAGTTTGTTTTCACATTTGTAGCATGGAGTCAGAGCAGCCAACCCTGTCAGGGATATTGTCAGGGTGAGAGGAGATAATCATTGTAAACAGTCATATGCTGCCTGGCTCAGAGTATGACCTCAGTAAGGGATGGAGGTGATGCTGAGGGGGACAATGGAGAGGAGGAGGATGGGAGAAAACCCCTGTTCAGGCCAGGGCAGTTGTGACATTGTGATCTATACTAATAAAAGAGTAGTATGCTAATTAGACCAGACGTCTTCTGGACAACCATCCAGATGTCCTTCCTGACAAAGCTGGCCAGGCGAAGCTGCCCTCCAGCGGTCCTGGGCACCAGCTCCTGCGGCTGGCTGTGGCCAGGGAGATGGAGAAGCCACCTGCCCCGAGGTCCCAGGCTGCAGCCAGCTGGAGAAGCCACCAGCCCTGTGGTCTATGGCGCCAGCGCCTGCGGCCCAGGAGATAGGTTCCCTCTTCTCCCACTGCAGTCATTACTCCAATATTCCCCTTTGAATTTCTCTCTGCTGCCCCGACCCAACTCCACTTTTCATCTGAAGGATAAGGAACAGAGAGAACAATGTTAAAAGCTTACATTTTTAAGCAGGTAAGGTTGGTACTTAAACATATAAATGGAAAACTAGAGTCCTTAAGGTAACAAAGGCTAGAAAGGGAGGGGACAAGGACAGGGCAAGACATATTATATCCAGCAATCCATGTGGGGACTGAAAACTTTTCAATGATGACAATCAATGAAGATATGAATCAACTAAAATAGTTGACAGGGACAATTCTTCCATCTTTGAAAATATCTATATCAAGTCTGTTTAAATAGATTTTCATCTGCATCATATAACACATTGTGACAAGACCACCGCCACCAATGTGGTCAGTGTTGTGCTGGTAAATGTTTAACAACTGGATCTCAATCAAAGAAAACAAACCCCTGATTTATAGTATCGGCCAATTTCTGTGGCATAAATTCTCCATCCAAGGCTAATGTGATGCCACTAAATGCAGAGCAGAGGAGAAATGTGCAGTAATACATTATTATATTCCACCAGAAAGACCCAAAAGATATAAATAATGTCAAGAGTCAGAACAGTAAAGTGTAGTAAATAATTGAGG